GGAATGGGTAGAGGTGGGAAATGAGAAGCCGGGTTTGTATGGCAACAAGGGGGCTCTAAGCAGGATCCAGGTCGCCAAGTTTATGGCTGGTTTAAGAGCTTGGATGGACAGTGGGTGGGCCCAGAGGAGCTGCTGTTGGGATCTTAAGGGGTGCTGCCCGGGCACAGCCTAGCGCTCCAGTGTGCGGGCTCTAAACCAGGCGAATTTATGAGTGGGTGTGGCTGCCACCCTGTGGGCGTGGCCTTCCCACTAGCCAGATGACCTTGAGGTGGGGCCGGCGTATAGGTAATGACTACCTAGCACTACCTGCATCTCTCAGCGCAGCCAGAGAGGGCGCTAGAGGGTGTGTGGCACGGGGCGGAAAGCCCGCGCACCTCCCGGAAGTGGGCGTTACCCTCTTCTACTTTCGGGCTCTGATTGGCTGGGTAGGATCTGGGGCGTGACTAGAGACGGGGTCCGCTCACAGGGGCGGGCGATGTTTCCTGCCTTCTACCTGGAGTGGTCTCACCTGAGGACGCGTCCCAGCTTCTCAGGATGACAGTGGTTTTTGGGTCGCCTCAGACACCTCATCTAGGTGAGCGGAGGACCCCAAGGACTCCTGGAGTGCTGTTGACATTCATGTGCTCTGAGGAGTGACAGACTCTCCAGGCGCTCGTCCTTTAATGCTCACCTGACTAGAAAGTGTCACCGCGAGTGTCCTCCCTGGAAGAAGGTGTGTCCATATGTTGATTAGATGGACAAATTTCCACACGTTTAATATTTATATCTGTATCGGGATCAGCAGTTGGCGTAATGGCTATGTCGCTGGACTTCATGTAGTCGACCGCGGTTCAAGTCCCGGACCCAGTGGCTTAAACTAACGCAAGGCACGTGTGCGTGTGCGCCCAAGATCCCGAGAGGAGAAGGGATTGCAGCGTGGCCATCCCCCCCGGGGGGGTGATTTCTCGCTTTTGTCTCTCTGTCTCACTCTGTCTTTCTGGCGAGCGCACATGCCGCATAGATATAAAAAAAATTTTATGTCTGTATTTACCTATGTAGATAGATAAACTAGTGATATGGAGTGATAGATTAGTAGCACATAGTTATATATAGTAATTTTTAATGAAATATGCAGTGAGCTACGTAAGGGAATTAAAGCAAATATCCAGACATATATGGAAAAAAAAAAAAAACAGCCTGACTTCTGTTTTGATGCCTTTGCTCTGTTAATAACTTTTCACTTGACATTCTTTTACTTTTTTAAAAGAATTGTTTTTATATAATTTTATTTTATTTTAATTTGACCAGAGAGGGACAGAGAGAGAAACAGAGAAAGCAAGTCGCCAAGTCCAGGCCTTGAGCCGCAATTGGCTATGTGGGAGTCCAGTGCCTTTAACCACCTCACCACCTGCCGGCTCCATCACTTGACATTCTTATGTGTACTTTTATTTTGTAACACCTTTTTTCGGTAAGAGCCAAATGAAGACAACCAAAGCTAGATATGGTTGTGCTATTTAAAAGGTCTCAGAGCCAGCCAGGTGGTGTGGAGGTTCAGGTGGCTGGATCCCACATAGCTGACTGTGCGGTTCAAGTCCTGGGCCCAACAACTTGACACACACACTGAGCACATGTGTGAGTGTGCCCAAAGTCCCAAGAGGAAAATGGAGAAGGGATTGTGGTGTGGTCATTCCCCCTCCACCCCCTACCTCTCCATAAGTGTAAATATCAGTGACTATAAGGGGGGGAAGTAGTTGGTAGAGAGTGGGTGATAGAAGGTGGGTGTGAGGTATAAAGGGAAGAAATGTTTAACAGACAAAAAATATATATAAAAAATATATATTGTATACATCATGATGGAGACTTTATGTGAAATTAATCTGAAAATTAAAATAATAATGGACTGTTTCTGGATCTTGAATTTGAAATATTTCCTTTCTATTTAATTATGTCACTGAAATATCTAGCAGTTTTATGCTACTAAAGGAAAAACTGGATATACATATCAGCTACTTTTTAGGAGAGAAGATAAGCCATACCATTCTGTTTTTCAACCTGGAGGATTTTGTGATAGTCGAACTTTCAGTTTGGTGCATGATTCTAACACAATTCTTGCTCTTCTGTAGACACAATGAGGCAAGTGGTATGACAGAGCAAGTTTCAGCCTGTACTTGGACAAATGGTGAAAAATGACCAGTGCTATGATGACATTTGAGTTTCCCGTGTGACCTGAGATAGATCCTTTTGCGGCACCAACCCCAGGTTTGTTGCCATAGTCACAGAAGCAAGAAGGAGGGAAGCATTCCTTGTGTTCCCCTTGTACAAGGTAAGTGATTTGACCTTGCATTCTGTTAGATGCCCTCTGGTAACCTTGGTATCTTTGCATTAATAGATTCACTTTTGAGATTGATGCCTCACTAAGATTGTTGGATTAATGGGGCCATTACATTCTGATGTACTTGAGGTTGAGTTTCACATGCCTTGCTCACCCCAAGAGTTTTTCTCTAACAGGGAATCATTAAACAGAATGGTGACTTCTGTTCTGAGTGTGCTCTCTGTGGATGAAAAAGATTATTATAATGATGCTGTGAGCATGGGCAGGCATAGGAATTTTATGATTTGCTTTGTAATCATCTACTTTTCACAAAGCTTTTTGTTTTGGAGTGTAGCTTTTTTTTGTTTTTAGCTTATTCAGAAGTTTTTTATTTTTTATTTACATTTGATTTTTATACATCTTTATGGTTTTTCAAAGCATGCATGCAGTGCATGTCAATCAAGTCAAAGATACTACCATATATATAATTTTCTACAGAATTTTATATTCTTGTATCTGTTAAATGTTTTCTCTTTTTTTTTTTCCCCCTGAGCCCCTATCTCCCACCCCTTGTTATCCACCTTCTCCTATACAGTCTCTGGTATCTACACTTGCCCTCCCTACTATTATACCTTCAAACCTTTCCATTTCTGCCATAGAGTGCAGACATTCAGTATATATTGAGTGGGAATATACAATATCTTCCATATTCTGACTTGCTTTGCTTAGCAGTGTATCTTCTATATTTTCCCTCTTTGTATCAGATGACAGAGTCTCATTGTTCTTTATGGCTGAGTAGTATTCCATAGTGTGTGTGTGCTAGGTTTCAATCCAGTCATCTGTTTTTGGGCATTTAGGTTGATTCTATGTTTTAGCAATTGTGAATAATGTTGGAATTAAACATGGATGTGCAAGTGTCTTTCCAAATGAATGTTTTCCTATCCTTTGGGTAAATACCAAGGAGTAGGATTACTAAGTTGTATGGGAGTTATGTTTGTTTTGATAGATTTTTAAGGAACCTTCATATTTTCCACAGTGGCTGCACAAATCTACATTTCCATCAATAGTACAGAAGGGTTCTCTTTTCACCACAACCTCACCGGAACAAGTCATTCTTTATTTTTTTATCATAGCCACTCCTACTGGGCTTAAGTGGTATCTCATTGTACTTTTGACTTGCATTTTCCTAAGATAAGAGAGATTAAACATTAAAAAGTTTTTTTTTTTTGATACCATATGTCTTCCATAGAGAGGATGGTCTACAGCACATTCATGTGACTGAATTAGGCAGGTCTCTATTAGCTCTGGTCACAGCTTTACCAGAACCAATGCCTAGAATGTCTTCTTAAATAATGTGTCATTTCTATATTTTAGCACTCAAGAATCTGAC